ATTGTAGGGGCGGAAGTGGGTATCAGCACGGGTCGAATTCACGCACGGGGCCCGGTAGGAGTGGAGGGATTGCTGACTTCAAGGTGGGTGTTAACCGGCCAAGGACACACCGTGGCAGACTTTGCTGATGGGGGCTCACTCCAGTATGTTCACGAAGCTCTACCACTTGACGAGGTTTTGCAGAATTCCACAGATGAAGAAACAATTGAGGACACTGGAGACAGTGAAGTGATACAAAAATAAATTATTTGTTTACTCCAAGTGCTTTTAGCTGACTTCAAGGAAGAAAGCATATAGCCTGGCAGACAGACACGTTAAAGAATGTTCAGTAGTTTGAAAAGTAATATGGCATAAAGCACAGCCCCCGTGAAGTACTGACAAGGAACCTCGGAGTTAAGGACAACTAAGGTTGCTCAACCAACAAGGCAATTGAGGCTTAAGTTATCAGACGTCATCTTGCAACTTACAGCAGTTGTCCACTGGAGAATTCGCTATGTCTATGACTGTGGTTTGCTATTAAAAATAACTCGGTCCTCAAAGAGAACTTATTGTTATCCTATTTATCAATGTAAGAATAGCGAAAACTACGACAGAGATGATGAGGGCAATGCCTTTAAATGTGAATATTATTGGGTTTTTTTCAGAAACCACACGATGTGTTTGAAATTCATATTGTAGTGCAAGACATGTTTCGGATGAAACATCATCCATCTTTACAAAAATACCAATACAAAATGAGCAATAAATAGTTAACCGTGTGTGATGAAAATAAGAATAATTAAGGATTAAGACGCCAAACAGAAAAAAAGTGAAAATATAACACTAAAATAATGCAAACTAATTAGTATGAGCGAAAGAAATATACAGTTTTTCGACATCGTCGGATGTTATTGTTAAGTAAATGTGTAGCTTAGTTTATGCATTATGTAAAAGGATCTACAATTATGTGCATAAGGTGGCAAAATACTGTAAGCGACAAGAAAACTCGTGACTATTAGGAAACTATGTCAATTAAACAAACACTTTTGCTCCGATTGAATTTGACTGAGTATTGAGTACTACCTTAAGATCTCTGATATATAACATTTCATATATCAGGCAGTCAAATTTACTCCTGCATTTGAGATGGTTAAATGATCTTTAGTGTTATGTTTTCACTTTCTTATTTTCATCACACTGTTGACTATTTATTGCTCATTTTCTGTTGGTATTCTTGTAAACTGACGATGGATAATGCTCCATCAGAAACACCTCTTGTTTAATACAATATGAATTTCAAACACATCGTGTGGTTTTTCAAAGCTATCTCTTGCTTTTTACTGCTGAGAAGCCTTAATATATGTTTTTACTTTGACATACGTTTAGCTATTCGCCAAATTGAACTTGATAAAGGTTAATTAATAGCTTTGACAAAGGGCTATCACTTGAAACATCAGCTTCACAGACTCGCTACGGTGGTTTATTGGTCTCTTTCAACTTCAAGTTGATAAAGAGCTAAATGTTTCACCTTTGTTCATGATCATGGGACATCGACACTCAACTAGGTTTCTTAGCGATTTTCAAGCTGTCAGTCTTACAACTGAATTCTTGAAACAACTTTGGAAATCCAAATGAAAGTAAAAAAAAAATAACTAGAGAACAAGAAATAAATCCACCATCTTGGTTCTGAATACCATAAAACGTTTTGAACCATTGCAGTGGTATTCAGGCCTCTTGTTCTGTTGCCATTGTAGCCTTGTTGTCAGAGTTAGTGTCATGATAGCACATCAATGATGAAATATAGTATCTCGTTTGCCGAGTCAGGATGTAGCCTCTTGAAATGGTTTGGTTACTCTTTACTAGTCTTCAATAGGCATTGAGGTCTGGGCCGGGTTGTTCAAAGCCCGATTAAGCTAACCCAGGATTAGCGAGAATTTTGATTTGAGTTTTGTAACTTTTCGGTAAGGTTTTCTGTTTAAACTGTTTTTCCTTCCGTTTTGAGCTTGATTATGCTCAAACTACACAAAACGTAAGCAGTAAAAAACATTTTTTTTGCGAGAAAAATTAATACTTCGGTTAACTTTTAATCCCTGGTTAGTGTTAACCGGCTTTCGACCAACCCAGCCCTGGTGATTATGTGTTACGCTATGTAGGGTGAACTGCCTCTCTCGTTATGCCCTGATAATAGCTATGCCGTTTGGCATAGCCTCACAAGAGAGCCAAAAATGAACGTGCTGAAAGTTTTGTCAGAGTTTCTTGACCTTGAAAGTCCATTAATGGTGAATTTGCACCTCCTGCTGTGATTGTTGAGTCATATAAGCACTTTCGAAGTTTTGAGAACTCGAGAAGTGCACATGGTAACTGCTAAGACTTGCTCCATGCGCCAATGCTGATGCAATGTTTTATTCGTGGGAAAAGTCAATTTCCAGAAAAAAAATCCGGTTCCTGCCATTGAGAAATTTCCGTCTCTTGCACCATCCAGGAATACGATAATGTTACAACAAATTTTCTAGTTTCCTCTCTATTATCTATCAAGTGGTCGCTTACGGAAGGTTAAAAACAAAAGAAAATTTCAAACTTTCAGCTTTAAAAGTGGTCGCGTTCGTTTGCGAGAGGTGGTCGCTTACAAGAGGTTCCAAATGTAGTGATTTGACTGGGAAACTTTTGGTATTTGGGAAAACTGGTCGCTGAGAGGTGGTCGCAGCCGGAGGTTCGGATTTTTGTTCCGCAGTTAGAAGCCTTTCTATGTATGACAACATAGAGGGAAACTATCCTCTGTGAAAATAATGTGGCGATAGGAGAAATCTACTCATTGTCTCAGTCAATGTTCCGCTGTGTTTGAGGGTAAACAGTTACGCAGAGTAGTAGTGTACCAAGTCGACTTTCTCCGACAGAATAAGATCTCGAGGATGATTTTGGCAGTCAGGACGAATGGAGAAATGAACCCTGATGAGTCATTTATTGAGGATATTATGCTCAAGAAACTTCTTCGGATATTGAGGCTTCTCTTTAACTTGAATCTTGAAACAACTCATCGGACTCGACGGTATCTAACCCTGGGAAACCTTCCAAATTGCTTTGCCTTCTCTGAAGACTCAGTTAGGCATTCACACAAGGTCCTTGAGTTCAAGATACGTAAGGTTGATCCATGATGTAAATACTCGAGTTATGGTTGCTTCAGACATACTAAATCTATGGGCTAAATCCTTCTGAAACAATCCCACTTTCAGTCGCATCATAACAATAAGGAATTCCTCTTCGAGCGTCAGCTTTGAATCTGGGCCAGGTTTTGTTAGGAATCTGTCAGAAAAATGACACTTATCGGCAGTTTCTCCTCCTCGCCAGTTCTTAAATAACTTAGCTTTTATCATAAGATATTTATGGTGTTGGGAAGAAATGTTCGCCGACTCCTTTGGAATGAGTCCATAGAATGCGCACATATAACTCCTTTAGAAATGACAGGCTCTTCTTGCTTATTTTCGGAAGTTTGATAGTAAGATCTGCTTTCGTGATGGAGGCTAAGTGTCCTTTTCCACTACTTGCCGTTTATTTACTGATGCCCATGGTTGACGTTCACCAGAACAAAGCCAAGTGTAGAAAAACACAGCGGTAACATAAACTATCAAGGTGATCCAAAATACTATCCTCCATTCTTCTTGTTTCTGCATCAGAAAAAACATCATAATTAACGCCGGATAGCTTATTAAGACAGTGAAACGGGTCATGTAATTCAACATCAGGTCAAACCATGACAAACTAACTTCGAAAATGTTCGCTAGGTCTATTTTTTTTTTTCTTGAGATCGATGTAGTCATAAAATAGCGATTTGGGTACTAACTTATTACTTAATTTAAGGTGGCTCAAAACAGTTTCCATCACCTTCCTAACCTTACATTTTGATGGCTCATTATATCTACTCTATCAGTTGATGCTACAATCATGGTATCCAAAAAAGCCCAATCATTGATAAACACGCTGTTACTATTTTCGTGACACAATAGGTTTAGCTCTTAACAAATACTTCTGTCTGTATTCGCCGAAACATAGCCACAGAATTTGACTGGCAACTGATAATCTTGATACAATTCTGTCCTAGAGCTAGCTTTCCACAAGCCTTAACGTAGCTCAAATAAAAGGAAATAACACTCCTGTATGCCTTTTAAGGCGAGGAAGACTAAATTCGCGGTCTATTGATTGAACCATAGATTGTACAATTTAATGAAGAGTGAGTCAACATGAAATTCGAGTCTAAATCAAGTCAAACGTACAGATATCAAAACCTAAATAGACTGAACAGGAGCTTCCAACACCGAGAATCGATTGAACTTCAAACAAACAAGGCCATAATAATGAGTAAGCGAACAGTTCGCATGTTGTCAGGACGTCAATTATCGACCGGAAGCCACACGAATAAAGCTCTTCCGCCCTAGCGAATCACGGAAGTGTCTGATAGTTCGCTTGGCCAAAAACGCCTAAAATTGATGAAACAAGGAAATTAACTGCTACTCACGATCGATCAACCTTTGACGCAATTTCCTTCACTCTCTTCGTGGCCATGTTTTGCTCGCTAATAGCAATGTCCCGGATGTAATTGGATTTTATCGAGCGGGAAATGCCATATAGACTTCAACAGATTTTTTTCTAAGTCTTAGGTGACATCAAAGTTCAGAGAAAATAACGCCAACAGTAGCTAGAAATGTCTAGTACACGTCTAAGCCCTAAATTGATGTTTGCTGTCTAAAGCAAGCACAACATTATCGCCACAGTGCAAACGGCCTACTATTACGGGGCTAAATGTCGACCCGTTTATGGCGTTTAGACATCTCAGGACCGCTTTCATGTACGATAATGGACGACGCTTGCCAGCAAATCGTTAGGCTTGCACCTTCATTGGACTTAATGATGTCCTCGGGCTAACCTGCGATCATACCCTCCCTCCCTTATATCCAGACGTGGGAAAGGAGGGCGTTTTTCTTTTTCCCTTCTCCCATTTCCCTTCTTTTTTCCAAAAAAAAAACGCCTGATCGCAGGTTATCCTCGGGCAGACTTCCTTTACACCGCAGTAATAGAACGCTAATCGGTCGGCTCCTCAGAGTCACCGCGCGAACCGAAATTCAGACGAGTGTAGCCTGGGCTGAACTTACACCAATTGAAAAGGGAAGGGGTGTAGCGTTAAATAATTAAAAAAATAAATAAATGAATGAAACATGCAGCAAGAAGTTCTCTACATTTCAGGCTAAGTAAGATTTACAAGAGGCTGTCATAGGGAAAGCAAAAAAAGTGATAAATAAATAAATAAATAAATAGATAGATAAATAAATGATGGATCCAAACTGCTTGATTTCTTTAACACTGTTTTCATAAATCCAGACATATGTTCAACGGAAGACTGGATGATCCAGAAAGGCCGAAAACTGAGCGTGTCTAATTACTGTTGATCTTTCTAAAGCATCTGGAATCAAACTGGGGCATTCCATTATCATTTGGACATTCCGTGCAAATATATGACTGAATTTATGAAAACCGTGTTAAGACTTTGCACCAAAATAGCGGGCATGTTATTTTATTTCAGAAAAGGAACGGTGAAACCCATTTTTGTTATGGAATTTTGATAAGCAGGATAAGATGCAACTTTTAGCAAAGTTTAAAAAAAAAATACTTACATAGAGTCCAGAGCCACCTTAAACTGTATTGCCAAAACGATGCGCTAACATAGTAATAGGGAGCTTAAGCAAACCACGACGGCGACGCCAACTAGAACGTCCCCGAACAGAAGGCTGTGCACGTGCGTTATAAATTTTGTACATTTCTTAGCCGTCCTCTGCAAAACAACAACGTGATATGTCCAAGTTCTACGTATTTTGGGGAACGCGAACGACGACGGCTAAATTTTTGTATTTTCATTTGGAACTGGACTCTGGCATTACATATTAAGCTTGAGCACGTTTTGAGCCCGTTAGGCCCACGGAACAGATCTAGGCAATTTTAAAATTGGAACGGGTAAATTTAAATTCATTTTTTACCAGGCGTTATCCTCGGGGTCGCCGTCGTCATTGCTTAAGCTCTCTAACGTCTAGTTAAGTTCGTTTTCCAAAAAGAAAGTTTGCGTACTTTATTTGATGTGACAAATCCAGTTATCTGTGGGCTTATAAATCCAGGAGTTGATGCAAACGTATTAGTTAGCCCCATAAGAATGCCAGCAAACGGCGGACCAATATCCAGGTGATTGACAGCGTAACCAATAGCATTTAAACCCGAGAATCCGACACCTAACACCAGGAATATCACACTTGTCGTTCTTTGTTGAGTGTAGCCTGTTGCTACGATAAATACTCCAGCTAACAGACAACCTAAGGAGAAAGTAATCATCTTTGTGTTAGTATTATATTTCAACTTTCACTTCGTAACATAGTTATTGATATCATGTCTTCATAATTATTGATAGAGACGTTTGTTGGGTAAATACCGTCTAACACAGCAACAATAATGATGACAAAAACATCTACTGTTTGATCTCCAACTTTCTTTGTGCGTGTGCTTTAGCCTTAAGTGTTTGCTTTTATTTCCGTTTGTGGTTTCCAGACAACGGCCAGTGAAAGTAATTCATTCTCGACGTTCTAGGCAGCGGTCACCATTACCGCTGAGACGCAGTGAGAAGCCGAATAACCCTCAATATTCAACAAAATACTAAGTTTCTTCCTTTTTCTTCATCCTCGATTTTATCATTCTCGAATCATGTCCATATTACTGAGACTATTTCTGCTCCTTAGACGAGCGAGCTTAAAAGCGCATCCTCGATGTTTTCTTGGCCAAGGTCTTGACCCAGTTTCCTTGGACACCAAAAGGTAACATTTAGTATTGCTTGGCGTTATGTTTAGTCTTACCTGCTGCATAGAAAATCTTTCGTACTGTGACAATTTTACAAATTTTGTATCTTATGAGCGCGTCAGCTGTCACCCCTCCTAAGGGACCTAGAATGGCTTTAAATAGGTATGGACAGGCTGCCAAGAATCCAGTCTGAAAATAATAAAAGTTATAAAATACTCAACGGAGAATGCCTGATATTATCAAGAAAAGACAGATAAAATACTCAATCCTCGAAACACGACCCCTTAAAGGTATTATACCATTTATACATATAAGCCAGTTCACATATATCTTCGTGAGGGGTTTCTAGTTACCGGAGGAACTTACAGATGTAGCGGCTTCAAACCGGTATTAAAACATTTCCCAAAATATGAACAATTTCCTCAATCCCCAGACAGACTCACGTTATCATGTAGAATAAAACTATCCGTTCTTGGTTGGTAAGAGAGGACGAGGGGTAAGAGAAATGATCCTCCATATAGGCCTCATTCCTAAGGCTTCCTAAATACTTCAGCAATGGTATACACTTTTTGATAACTTTGACTGTTATTGCCGAACTGTACTCGTTTGAGCGTTCAGTACAAGTTGTAGAAAATGTTTATTTCTCGAGAGCTGCTATTTAGTGTCAGGTTTGTTGTGATATGTTTCTGGTGTATGATAATGCAGAGTCCGGCCTTCAACTCAGCGTGAGGGGTTCAATTTCTTGCGGAGTATCGCCTACTACAATCGTCTTCGCCTTTGCTGTATACGTTATGTTTGATCGGTGTCTTTCACTGCGAAATTTCGCCTTTCCCATCTGCCTCCTCTTTTCTCGTCTTCCTCTCAGTCTTTCTCCACTGACTTCTATCGGATTTCACAAGGAAAGCGCAAGCCTGGGGTGTGAGCCCCGAAGCTAGAGCGCAAAACAACAGGAATGCCTTTCTTCGGGATAGCGAACAAGAAGAAGCGGGAGAACTGGAGTAAATTGAAGACAGAAACAATACTTTTAAATGACTTGTGCGCAGCCAATGTTGTTGCTGCACGAAGGAGGGATATATACTAGAATTACAGTTTACTTGCTTCACGCTCCAGAAAATTGGAAGAGGAAATTGAAGTTGACAGTATGCAAGGCTTTTCGCCCTACTGATTGGCTAATTCTCTGAGATGCAAGTATTCACAAATTGGCATACGGGTGTGTCGCTTGAAGTTGGCAAACGTTTTTCCTATCTGCAGGAATTAGGCAAGGATCTGTGTTCCAAGCTTTATCGGCCTTCAATACAACTCCGTCGTTCTGTGTAAGGAGCAAGAGAACTACACTACGATGAAAAGGTATTGGTAAGTGATCAATAGTTTGTGGAAACTCAAAACACAACTGAATCCTCAGGTTCTGGATGTTGAAAGGAATATTATGCTGAGCATCAGATAAATTGCTATCCAGTGAATACAGGTAATCAAACCAAACTGCTACTAAATGACAATGATTTGTTTGTCAGACAAATTTCAAACGTTGTTCTTGTTGTTGTGCATAGGGATATATATTAGGTTTGTAATCAAAACCTACCTGTTCGATATCAAAATCCAGAACATCTTTAAAATAAGTGGGCATGCCGGTAAATAACGTGTAATATCCCCAGCACGCACCAAAGTGGCCGAATACAATGGCCCACACTGCAGGTGACCTTAAAATGTCTGACCACGGAAGATGCTCAAACTGGAAAGTAAGAAAAGCAACTGAATTCAATATATCACACTTACGTTTAACTGAGTAAAATAGAGTGAGGTATGATTAGACATGTCTAAAGGCGGAACGTAAGGAATACTACCTGGAAAGCTAAAAACGCAAACGTAGTATTTACGGCAGTATGCCTTTTGAAGTAACCAAGAGTTTAAATTAGAGCGGGGAATGGCCCATTCCCTCTAGGAGATATGACTGCAGAGAATCATGGTAGTTGTATTCAACAACAAAAAAAAACATCCAGTCCAGAATGATGAATACAACTACCATGATTCCCTGCAGGCACATCTCATAGCGGGAATGGGATATTCAGATGAGGAGAATTAAACTTTGTCGGATGGCTCGGATTTTAATTTTAATGTTTTAGCCCCACAAATAATCAATAACAGATCTGAGAATTTTATCTATTTTTAACTAGTGACTTGATTTAACAAAAATATAATCTTTTATAAGAATGATTTTTATCCTTCGATTGTAGCTTCTTAATTATTCTTAGCATTTTTGTCTTTTTATTTAGTACACGACCCCACAAGCTTGTTAGCTTTGAAATTTTTTATCGGGTATAAATAAAGGTTGTATGTACGTCGACCTTGCCATTTATACCAAGGCTGCTATCGCTAGCGTTTTGGACCCGTATCATGACACTCATTCTATTTAGGTCCACTTTAGTCCTGTCCATCTCTCTTCCCTGCCCTTTATAGAAGCATCAGATATTTAATGTTTACTGAGTCGGTCAGCTGTAGTATCGGATCTAGTATCTGAGAGAATTAATGCATTTCAGCAAGAGATAATCTCTTAATTTCAGTTACTGGGCTGAGACCTTTTAACCACCCGGATATAATTAACCACAACCATTTTAAACTTCCTTTTGGCGGGATAAACATTTAGTCCATGGGCCAGGACCCTGGAAAGAGCCGTTTGGTACCAAAACGAGGGACAAATTCTAACACTTATTTTTAACAACATTGATTCCTCTAGGTTGTTTTGGTGTATGATAACCACGCCAAATGAGTAGCTTTACTAGGATTATCACGTAATTAAATGACGTCACACGGTTTGGCTGAATAAGCAGAATTGGTAAAAAGATGCCTAATAACAGTTAAATGCAAAACTGAAAATGTTACATACATTAATTTTCGTTATTGCAAACTTCAAACGCAGTTTTCAGACCTAATTCCAATAACTTATATATGACTTATAGGTGTTATCTCTGAATGGTTTCCATGGCAACACTTGTTTATTTATTGCAATTTAATGGCATACACAAACAGGCAAAGCCATAAGGATAATCTGTAAAAGAGTGGAACACTCCATTCGAGACAGATCACCATATAGCTAATCTAAATAAATAATCATGTAATAACAATCAAGAAAAAAAATTATAAATTAAATTATAAATATGAACAATAAGACGGAAAATGTGAAAAAAAAAGGAAAGTGCTCGTGTAAATTGCATTGGCTACTTTCGAACGCTCGTTCTAAACTACATTGACTCCTCTTGCTTAGTTTGGTATATGATAGCCATGTCAAATGAGTAGCTATACCAGGCTTATCAAGAGATCAACTGCAAATGACTCGGTTGGGCTGAACAGATAGAACTGGCACAGTTGTGATTACTACGGTCAAATACATGCAAATGCAAATGCAGTCATGTCACATACACTGGTTTTTAGTTATTGAAAATCTCAAACGTTTTCAGAGCTCATGTCAACAACTTATTTTTAACTTAAAGAAATTGTTCCTGGATGGTTTCCATGGCTAAACTTGCCAAATGTTAAGAGCCAGTGCCCATAACTATGGACCAAACAACAGCACAAGTCGGAAAATCGATTTTGCTGATTTTTTGCCCATAGATTGGCCCTAGCTAGTTAACAAACGGACCATAGTTAGTTTCTGCTAATGCAGCTT